AACCAATGTGACAATAAATTTCATAAATAAATAAATAAATAAATCCCCCTTGTGGGGGAGAGCAGATCTGTTGTGGGGCAAAGGGAAATGGAACCCAGTCCATCAGCCACCTCACAGAGGCACAGCCCATGACGTCAGGGCTTCAGAAGGGCGGGTGGGACAGCGCCCAGGTGCCCAAGGGTCCTCTGTTACCCCCTCCTCGGACCCGTTCAGCCCTGCTGTGTAGAGGAGAAACTGAGGCCCAGAAGCATCAGTCACACCTGGACTGCAGGTCCTGAAAAGGTCCTGCGTTTAAGAAAAGCCTGGAAGAGGCTGAGCACATGCAGCCTGGGGCCAGGGATCCTCCTCACACTTGGGGAAAAGTTAGCACAGAGAGGTCAAGAAATGTGCTGGAGCCACACAGCTTGCCTGCAGCTGTGTCCAAGGAGACCTGCTCTCTGTCTCTGAGCGCCCTTCCTGGTAATGGATCCCAGCTTCCTCGTATGCACAGTATCAGGAGCCTTTTGTCCTTTTCAGCACCTTTTCTCACTTAGAAGCTGATCCACGCCATAAGGTCACTTCTGGGGACAGGTGTGTGCTCCATGGGGTGACAGCCCCTGGCGGGAAACCCCGAGTCTGATGGCGCTTGCTTCCCTGCAGGAGGCCGGCCACGGGGGCTGAGAAGTCAAACCCGTCCAAGCGGCACCGGGACCGCCTCAACGCCGAGCTGGACCACCTGGCCAGCCTGCTTCCGCTTCCTCCTGACATCGTGTCTAAGCTGGACAAGCTTTCCGTCCTGCGTCTCAGCGTCAGCTACCTCAGGGTGAAGAGCTTCTTTGAAGGTAGGACTCTCTTCTGTCCATCTGTGCTCAGCTGGGTGTCACCTGGGCTCGCTTCGGTCTCACCCGGGCCCACCCCACTTTACTGGGATGGACCAGTTTGCACCCCGTCTTGGGTAATCATTTAGAGGAGCGGGCACTGAGTGCTGATGACCCAGGGCAGCCCTGTGCAAGGCTCAGGGACTGGCCCTCCCCCTGCTCAGCTTCCCCACAGCCTCAGGGCTTCAGAGGACCAGGCAGATCCTCTCTGTGGGGAAGCAGGACCAGGGCTGAGCTCAGGAGGCCGTGTTCCCCCATTAGCCCGTGTTACTATTGGGTGGCCATCCTTCCGTGTTGTTGCTTTGTCTGTCCCGGGGATGCTGTGATCCCAGCCAGGCACCAGCCCCTCTGCGCAAGGGGTCCCTGATGTGTCAGTCCCTTGCAGTAGCCGGGGATGGGTGCTCTCCTATATCTGATGCTCCCAACCAGGCCTCATTCTCCACGTGTCTTGGCTCAGTTCCTGGTAAAGAAATGTGGCTGTCACCACCCTGTTTCAGGGCCCATGACTGCCGTCGTCGTCCCGAATTAAGTCTGAACTTCTTACCAAATCGCAGCTTACTGCATGTCTTTGGGAGTGGGTAAGACAAATGTGTAAAGGGGCAGGTCTGGGCACCAGGGAGTGGTGGGGGCTGTGGCCAACAGCAGAGTCTATACTTTCTACCCAAAGGCTTTGGAGGTCGGTTTTTGCACGTCCTCATTTTGCTGCACAAAACACCCTGGGCTGCAGTGAGGACGCTGGCCAGGGCTGAGGTCCTCGGGTGATGTGAACCCAGGTCTGTCCCAGCTCCCACACCTGTGGGGACAATTTGCCCTGAGACGATTATGGCAAGGCCCGAACGCACCTTAATCAGACACGTCTGAGGTGCGACTCGGCCACGGAGGGCGGTTTTCTTGAGGACTTAGCCTACCTTCAATCCCAGCTTCCTCCAGAGACCCCACCATGAGGAAACATTAGGGGCCTGCAGGCAGCTCTGCCCAGTGCATGCTCCACCTGGGCACCTTGCCGACTGACCCCTCCAAAGGGCCCCCCACACGTTGGCCTCCATTTTCTCTCATGGAGCAGGAATCCCAGATCCTCTGACCACTACTGGGCTCGGAGAGCCTGCTCTGTGTGTGAGAGCTCTGCACGGAGCTCCCTCCCAACCTCTGTCTGACACCCCAGAACCCTGGGGGCTCACCCATGTGTGTGCCCTCTCTGCTCTGGGGTGTGGAGCCCGGTGGGTAGTCTGGGCTGGTCCTGAGCCACACTGAGGTGTCCCGGCGTGGAAAGGCCACCTGTCATCACGGGGAGGCCGAGTGCACTGGGCTGGATGGCCATGTGGCCTGCTGAGCCAGGCTTGGTCCTGAGGGCTGGTGGCTGCCACATTGGCCATGCCCAGGACCCCTCTGGGGCATCCCTGCTCCCCTGTTCCCCTGTGCATCCCCGTGCTGCCTCTTCCATCCCTGACGTGGCCCCGTGGGATTCGCAGCCGGGGCTGGAGCTCACCCAGCGCTCAGCCCAGGTCGGTCTTCCTCACTAAACCTCGCACTCTTCCTTTGGGTTAAAAGGGTGCCACCTGGGTGTCCGTCACCCAGACTTCCATGGCTGGAGCCCAAGCTCACAAAAACACTCCCGCTGAAGTATTCTGTAGGGTGACAGAGAATGGTGCGTGGCACTCAGTGGAGGTCACCAGGAGGGTCTTGTGGGCTGGTGGGCTTCCCACAGGAGGCAAGGGGCAGGCGCTGTCTGCAGGCTGCGCTGAGGCAGCCCCTCACCCCAGTCTGTCCAAGGCTCTGGCCCCTTGCTGCCAAGGTCCTACATCTCGGGACGGGGCAGGGGCGGGGGCTGCTAGTCACTTGTATTCTCCCTGCTGTGGTCTGGGCCCCTTCCCCATGGAACAGAGGGGTTTTGTGTTCCTTCCCCAGCTGCACTGGGGTATCCCCAGGCCCTCGGGTGACAGGACCAGCTGTATGCGGTGCAGTCCTGTCCCCCAACCTCCATAGCTGCAGCTGCTGTGTTTTCTCACTGGCCACATTCAAAGCCATGTCTATTGTCTGGATTCTCCTTCCCAGCGTCCACATGTCTGGCTCAGGCCCTCTCTCCTTGAAGTGCTGGAATCTTAGATTTCAGGTTCTTGGTGGCTCTGGGACCCCAGGTGAGGGGCCAAGAAAGGCCCGCAGATGAGAAGACCGGTGTAACTGGGGGTGCTCTTCCGAGCATCTGTGCTCTGAGTAGAAGCTGAGAGGGCCAGGGGCCCCCAGCCCCATGCCCCAGGGGTTCTATCCCCATGCCCAGGGCCCGTCGCTTTGCCCTGGGGCGCATCCCCAGGCCCCAGGGGTTCTATCCCCATGCTGGGGGCCTGCCTCCTCATGCCTGTGGCTATCTGGTGGGCACTCTGAGCCCCGGTGGTGACAAGATCAGTTCACTGAGGTGACTTGGAACATTTTCGTGTTGTGCAGGACAAGAGTGCTTTTCTAGGAGGTTTGTGATGTGATGAGTAAGTCGACAAAGTCATACAAAATGCGCCGGAGAGCCAGGTGTCCACACCAAGGGCGCAGTCCCCTGACTTGCCTTTGTGAAGCCCCTCTGTTATGGACGGCCACCTCAGCTTCCACGGTGGCCTCCTTAGGCAGCTCGGGCAGGTTTGGGGCTGCCCTGGGTGGGGTTGGTGGTTCACCTCCTGTTGACACACCCTTGCAGACCTGACCTCCTGGCTGGGTGGTTGGGAGGGAACCAGGTCACTTCTCTGGATGGGTCCAGCTGTTCCTAGCCAGGCCAGGGTTGGTGGTCTCTGAAAGGCTCCCGTCTGCTGTTTCTAGGGGTTCAGGCAGCTGTTCAAGTATCTGCCTGAACGCCTCACCTCTCTTAACTAGCGGTCGGTGATGTTCCCGACCTGCCACCCCACGCCTCCCGCTGGTGCACGCGGACGCCCTTCAGGTCTGTCTGAGCAGCTAGGGCTGACTCCAGGTCCTGCAGCAGGTGGGCCAGCCCAAAGCTCACAGCTGCCTGGCCACTGTCACAGTCAGGTGTCAGAACAAAACTTGGTTTCTCCACAGCACCGTTTCTGTCAAGGGTTCTGAAGTGCGGGATCCCCTTGAAGCTGCACAGTTTAGAGGAAATTGTAGAAAGTTTCCCGAATTCATTTTCACTGTGGAGTTAGAAAAAAGTCAGGCTGCAAAAAATCGGATCTTAATCTGCACTTCCTGACTCAGAAATAGATGAGTTAATTTCATTAAAGCTTCCATAAAATGTCACCTTTGGGAAGGATGTGACCTGGAAAATTTCAGCTTCAGATGGTAATAAGAAAACTTGCCTGTGATGTTTACTTTAGTGCTGGCTTTTGTGGATTTTTGAAAGGCAGCAGATTTTTAATTTTTTTTTTTTATCTGGTTTTTGCACAGGCAAGGGGCCAGTCAGTGCTTCTACGTTATCAACCCCTCTGCTCAAATGCAAGACTGGGATTTTCCAGTCTTGTGGATTTCATCGTTCACACGATAGGAAATTGGGGGCTGAGAAAAAGGGGGAAGTCAGGACAAACAGGACCCTCGAGGTGGGCTCCCCCAGGATGTGGGGCCTGAGAAGCCCCAGCACCTCCTCACTTAAGCTTGGTAGTTGGTTACGGCCACCCTCCCAGGCATTAGCTCTGCAGTGTGGGCTCGTCTGGGACACTTGCTGGCCAGAGGAGCAAAGCTCAGGTGGTGGAGAACCACCACTCACAGGTAACGGACCCAAGGTCCACACGGTGTGTCCATCCCGTGAGTCTTGTGATGGGAGCATCAGCCAGGGCTCCTGACTCTGTGGAGAGAAGTGTCAGAGAGGGCAACAGGGGCGATAAGCAGAATGAAGCGAGAAGGGGGAGGTGGAAAAGCAGTTTCGGCTGTCTGTGGGAACGTCGAGATTCCGACCCTGGGTCAGTGCTGCCCATGGGTCGTGTCTGGGCCTCCCGTCCCTTTGCGTTTTCTCCGCTCAGCCCGTGGGGCTCGATTCTGCACATGCTAAATGGAGCCCTGCAGGGGTGAGTCCTGGCCCCTGCTCACCTGGTGGGCGGGTCCAGAAGCCCACATGTCAGGAGGGTGTGCCCCAGAACCTTCCCGAGAGGCCTTGCCCGCGCGCAGCATGTCAGGAGGGCAGTTTGCCTTGATGGTCTTAGGACCAGCAACGGAGGCGTGTACACTAGCTGAGTGGTACCAGTTTTCAGCTGTCACTAGAGTTATCCTTCTCTCGATGAGCCCTGTGCATCCCTCCAAATGCACACACCAAGGCCCGCACCCCGGTGTGGCTGTGTTTGGAGATGGTGCCTCTAAGGAGTATTAAGGTTAAATGAGGCCCTGCGGAGGACCTGACCCCACAGGATTAGTGTTGGTCTGAGGAAGCCAGGAAAGATTTCGCCAGAAACTGAATCTGCTGGTGCCCTGATCTCAGGCCTCAGCCTCTAGAGCTGTGAAGAATACTTATCTGCCGTTTACACGCCCGTGCGTTGTGTCTTGTTACAGGGACCCAGGCTGACTGAGATGGGCCTTCTGGGGGCAAGAGGGTTGGGACCTGCCCCCTCTCCTCTCATGTGGAGTGTCCAGGGGCTTTGTCCCCCAGGCACATGGATACGGGTCACTGCTGCCTCTCACCTCATCTGCTGCTGGAACCACCTTCCTTACCCCATTCCTTCCCAACACTGACACCTTCCAGAATTGGTTCCCTGGGGCATTTCCAGCAAAGACACACTAGCGTTGGGTCATTCAGGATAGAGTGCCTGTCCTGTCCTACTGTCTGTGGCCACCAGCTTCTGACCCCGCAGGAAGGGCCCCCAGCACTCCTCAGATCACTCTTGATTCTTCTATGCACTGTTTTATTTACCTTACCATATCTTAGCTACTTCCAGGAAGAGGAGCAAGCACTCTTTGGTCTGTGCACCGATTCACTCCCTCCCTTCTGGTACCTGCATCTGCTCAGACCTGCTCAGAACTCAGGGTCAACACAAAACAGCTTT